ATAATAATCTTTTCTAAATATATGGATAGCCATTTTCCTTTCTATTTTTTTTTTTTTTTTGTGGTTAAAATATGAATCGGGAATAGAAAAAAAAAGTTTCTTGTTGCCGATCCTTTTATCCTCTATGCTCTACATCACCATTGGATTTGGCCGAATCTGTTTCTGCACACAAACTCCATTTCTATTCATTTCAACAATTTTGTTGTTGTTGTTTTGTTGCTGGTTAAATTTATTACCCGCTATAATTCTTTCTCTAGTATTTATTTGATGATTGAAATCATCATCATCATCATCATCAATGAAATGACTTTCTCTCTCCGGGTTTTTTCTTTTCTTTTTTTTGAAACAGAAATAATAAAGAACCATTTGATGATGACGATGTGGTGATGACGACTCTCTCGAAACCGATTTTTTTTCTTCTATTTTTGTGTTTTGTTATGATGACAAAGACGCTGAAAATAAAAACATGAATTCAGATTCAGAGAGAAAGAAAATAAAATTTTTTCTGGTTTTTCAAAACATCTGTTTTGTGTGTGTGTGATGGTCATCATCATCATCATAATAATGGGCTATTCTCATTTCGGTTGTGTGTGTGTAAGAATCTGAATTCTGAAGCTCGAGAACGAATCTTTTGTGTATACTATCGATTTGTGTATTTTTCTTAACACACACACACACACACCACATAATCGAGCAATCGAATTTGGATTTGAACAATAAAAAAAACCGGACAAAAAAAATGATAATAATAATAATTGCTGACAATCGACAATTTGAATGACCAAAAAAAAATGTCATCAATGAAAAAAAACGGAATACACACGAATCCCAGATCGATTATTTTGCATAACACGACAACGGACCACAAACATGCTAATTATTCATCACTCAATCATCATCATCATCATCATCGGGTATACGAAGAAGCAGAAAAAAACTCATTAGAATTTCAAAAAAGGTGAAATTATTGTTTTTATCTTCATTCTTTTTTATATCATTGGTGATAGCAATAAAAAATGATAAATTATTCAACGCACACACACACACATATACAAAGAGAGAGAATGTAAGGATAAATCCTAAATATTCATTTCATTCATTCATTCATTCATAGGCAATTTATAAATTTTTAATTTCCAAAAAAAATAATTTCAAATTTTTTTTTTGTTGAATTCACAGTAATTATATAGTCAATGGCAAGTCACATAGAACAACAAAACAAGAAAAAGTTGGCTTCACTGTCATAATTCAATGGCATTACAACAACAACAACGATGATGATGATAAGGCAATCTATGTTAATTATATGGCACCTGATCATCATCAAGAAAAATCATTTGACACCAATTTGACTCAATATCATCACCTATGGTTTTTGTTTTTGCTTCAGAAACAAAACAAAAAAACATATCATTTGCTGGATTTAGGATAATTTATCCACCCATGTTTCTGATATGTGCAATCCATTGGATGAGAAATAATCAAAGGAAAAAAATTCGTGAAATTTGAAGCCAAATTCGTTTTTGTTTTTTTATTCTTTTGGTTGGTTGTCAGGTGTTTGATTGAATGAATAAATGAATGTGTGTGTGTGTTTTCATTTCCTTCGGTTGGTTGGTTGATTGCATTTCTCTCTTTCTCTGTCTGTATTTCGGGTAAGGATTTTTTTTCTGGTTCATTAAGCTCATCGTGCCGCCGAACGTACAACCGAAACCATTTGATTTGAGTATTCGAGCAAGCATATGTGTGTCTGCATACATGGATATAGTCATTTGTTATATATGTGAATGCATCTAACAACAACAACAACGACAATCAAGACATCAAACACTACACCTGGGTTTGAGTGTTGGGAATCGAATGAATGAAAAATCAAACATGTGTTCAAACAACTACTCACTACTCACTGTTTGTTGTCAATAATTGCAACTTTTTAACAATTTTTTTTCTATAAATTTTTGTCCTGTAAATCATCCACATTGTTCAGCAATAGAAAAAAAACAACAGAATCATTATCATAATGATGATGATGATGATGATGATGATATTCGTGGAGTATAAAATATGACATGAAAAAACTTTTTTTCTTTCTTTTTCCATAAATATAAAAACTTTTCATCATCACCGTTATTTGATCATCGTGTAACACGCATATATTTCACTGATTATTATGATGATGATTATGCCGACGATGACGACGAAAAAAGTTCTTGTTGTTCTTGATGATGCAGCAGAAAATAAATAAATATTCAGTAAAAAAAAACATCAGCCATATTTTATCCGAATCAAAATTGGTTCAAAATTTTTTTTAGAATATTTTCAGAGAAACAAAACATAGCCGAGTATTTTTTTTTCATCCCACGAAAATTATAAATCATCAAGTTTTCAAGACTGAAAAATAAAAGTCCTAGTCAGTTTGTGTGGCTAAAAAATTCATATTCGTTTTTTTTAAAAAACGATGGCGGTGATTGTCATAACTTATCATCATCAGCAAAAGGTTCAAAAAATTTTGAAACAAACAAACATCATTATAGAACGAGCATTTCACTCCACTCAACAAAAAAAAACAACAACAAAGAATTGATTTCTTGATTGAAAAAAGGCCAAAAGGAATGTGTTTGCATATGGAACACATATTCGTCAAGAAGAAAAACAAAGAAAAAAAAATATTGCCTAGATGCAATGTGATTGAAATGAAATGAAACTTTTTTGTTGTTGTTTCTTCTGTTATTTCTTGGAAACTGTGTATTTTTTGAAATGTAAGAATGAAAAAAAATGTTGATTTTACACATCAAATGGTGTTTGAATGAAAATGAATCAAAAAAAAAAAAAAAATGGAAAAAAAATCCATCCATAGTAACATGAAAAGTGACGAAATAGAGCGAGAGAAGAACTGCCAATTGAAATTGAATTAAGTCAAGTGAAACAAAACAAAACTGACGAAAAACTTTTCACTTTTTCTCAAAAATGCTATTCCAATTTAGTTTCATGCATGCAACACACATTTTGGAACGCGAGTTTTGAAACTGTGAAAAAAAAATCAAAATTTAAACTCGCGTTTGATTCAAATACACTCACACACACAAGTAATATTATCATTATTATTTTGATTCTTGATTTCATTTCATTTCGATTTTTTTCATGTTTTTGGCAAATTTTTCTTTTCATTTTTTTCATTTGAAAAACAAGCAGCAGCAGCTCGAGAAAATGTAGAAAAATGAAAAATTATGATGATGTATGTTGGTTGGTTGATGCGGGCAATATTTTTTTCTCTTTCTTTTTTCTCACTACTACTACTAATGCAGCTTTTTTTTTTCTCTCTCTCTCTTTATCAATGATTTGATGATTGAAATAAATAAGAAATGTATGTGGATGTACAAGGAGAAAAATGTAATCAAATTTTTTTTTTAGAAAAAAATGTTTGCGAATATTCCATGGTAACCCCTGAAAGAGCTCAACATTCGATCAAGAAATACAAAAAGTAAAAGAATTTGTCATGAGAAACGGAAATTCACATTTTTCGCCAAAAAAAATTAATGTTTCATTGTATGTAATGTTGAAAATATTTAATACATCACTATAAAAATGTGGAATGAAAAACTGTGTGCATGTGTATTGAAAATCAGCCACTTTAACATTTACAATTCTAACATGTAATACACACCTACACAAAAGAAGTTGGTGAACGAAATGCATCATTTTTTTCGTGTTGAATGTTTCCCCAGGGTATAAGAAAAGAACAACAACAACAACAACAAAAAAACATCATCATTATCACTACGAAAACTGTAAATGATTCCAATTAAATTCTAGCAGAAATACAACTACAACAACATATATAATCAAGTAGCATTATCATCATTTAAAATTTTCAATGAATTAACGAGAGTAAGTGAAAGTAAAAAAGTCAAATGGAATGATTATCATTTTGTTTTTCAGATGATGATGATGATGATAATAATGTTTTTTTTAAGCATAAAAAATCTCCAAGGATTATATAAAACGCTTTTTTTACTTTTACTTTTAGTTTTATTTCATAAAAGTTTCATTTCATATACATAATTGCATTACCAGGACTATTCATATTTTTATTCATCAGTTTATTTTCGGGCCAAAATGAAAAATGATCATCAATTAAAGTTAGTAGAATCCGTATGAATGAATGAATGAGTGAGTGAATTGAGCCAATAAAGCAACCAACAGCACAAAATACTCGAATGGATAATTGATGTTGCCATATCTCATATGATCAAACAAAACAAACAAATGAAGCTAAATATTTGACCAATCCAAACAATCAATTTTTTATAGGAACCTAAAATTGTTGGAACTTTTTTTTGGAGTTGAGGATTTAATTAAATTTACACACACACACGCACAACAAACACACCAGTATAAACAAAACTTTGATGGATCATCATCATGATCGTTGAATCATATCGATATGACCCGATTTTCGATCATCCTCATTTTAATCATCAAAATTGATCATCATCGTCATCGTTCAAGTAGTGATGATGATGATTATTGGCAAAAAAAAGAAAAACTTGGATCATATTTTGATTGGGTAGAAAAAAGTTTTCTTCTGAAATGAACAGAAAACAGAAGAAATAAACGATTCGAGAATCTTCTCTAAATCTGCTCTAATCATTGATAATGAGTATAGTTTGCGGTAGTTTTTTTGGGAAAAAAAAACAACAACAACAACAAATTTTCCACATGGAAATCATCGTGTTGGAACAAAGTGTTTGGGGGACAATGATGATTAATCATCGACAACTTTACAACTTTTCAATTGTTAACACAACAGCAAACAATCTAATCTAATTTGTGTGTTTGTTCGATTATCATGGTTACCATATTACTATTATTAATATTTTGCATGCAAAAATTTTATTTTTAGATTGGTAAGATGAATGTTACAAATGGAAAAAATGTTGGCAAATATTACCATTATAAATTTATAAAACAAACAAACAAAAATAGAGCAAAATGCAACTTACCTGTCCAGTAAAACTTTCATAATCATCTTCTTCAGCTTCAGCTGCAACCAAATAATATGTTGATGCTGTCCAACAATATGAATTAACATAACGTGCTTGTGGTTCAGTAAAATATGTTGGTGTAAAACATTCAATTGGATCACCAATATATTGTTTAGTGAATATTGGTAATGCTAAAAATAGGAAGACGAGTAACGTGTATTTCCGGTTCAATTTATCGACACCATCATCGACCGGAACATGTATTCCGCCTATTAAATCGTGAAATCTATTATTATCGTTATGATTATTATGATTATCGTCCAATATTTCAGATAATTGTTTTGTTGTTGAATGAATCAAATGATGATAACAGTGATGATGATGAAATGTTGTTGTCATTTGATCAAATTAATTATCAGTGTTGAATTGATGGATGGATGGAAAAAAGAAAAGAGTACATTAGATCAAAAAACACATAGATGGATTGGGTGGAATATAACGAAAAAAACAAAACAAAACAAAATTCAATTTCAATTTAAATCATGTGATGATGACACAAACACACAAATGACGAAGGTGGTAGATAGGTTGATTATCGATTGAAGATTAAGGAAAAAATTTATGGAGAAAAAAGATGAAAGAAAAGAAAGAAGAAAATAATTTAGCTTTGCTTGTTTGAGTAGGTAGTGAAATAAAATGGAGCAGAATGAAAAAAATGTAAATTTTCTTTGAAAAAAGCTGCAATGGTTCAATGTGATGCAAGCAAGTATAAAAATATGTGTGAGCGAAAAAAGCAGCGGCCTGTGTGTGTGTGTGTACATCACACACATTCATGCAACACAACAACAACAACAAAAAAAATACCAGGTATATACGGAAAACAAAATTGTCTTAATCACACCCGGTTTCTTTTAGGAATCATTCGTTCCAAAAAACACACACACACACAAAATATCTCTGGAACAAAGATTGAAAAAAATTCCAGAACCCGTATCGTGTGTGTGTGTGTGTGTGTGTGCGAATTAATCAGATCATTTTGCACTTCACTTTATATTTCTGTTGTGTGAAATAAATTCTTGCCGGAAAAACGTGGAACAACTTAATTTTCATGAAATCCCAGCAAAAAAAAAGTAGTAAAACTGAAGTATAACGAAAATTGGAAATTTGCAAATTTATGCTAAATAGATTTAAAAACATTCCATTCACCTCCTTCTGCCTCCTACGCACACGTTTAATATTCTTTCAAAGCTGATCGCAATTTTCTTTTCAAAAAAAAAAGAAAAAAAAAAAACATAATAATCATCTGCATTGTCAATTCAATTACATTCTATTTACGCGTGCGTTGTCGTTCATAATCATATATCACAAAACAAAGATTGAACAAGACGAAAATGTCATTTCATTTTTTTTTTTTTTGTAATTTGAAAAAACAAAGAAAAAAAAGAAAATCGGATTTTGGAACAGTAAAAAATTCAAATTTAATTGTCAAACCAATTAGAAAGAAAAAAGAAATATGGAATGACACAAAAAAAAAACCAAAAGAAATCTGATGCTTGAGATAACGAGATAAAAATGAGATATGTGATGTTCCGCGCCACCAACACCAACACCGCCAAAAAAAACATTTCATTGGAATTTGAGCCAACAAAATACTTTTTTTTCTTGGGTTGGAATTTTTTTCAATCAAAACCGTGACCGTTTTGTTGGAAACGAAATTGGAAATTAATTTGAAATTAAAATTTTTCATTTTTTTTCTTTGGTCCCAAGTTTCAAGCAAAAGCAAAAAAAAACAGCATCCATATGGTACGCACGATTGATGTGCATACTTTTTAATTGGAATTTTTTTCATTTTTTTTGTTCTCTGATCCACCAACCATTTATAATCGTGAAACTTTTTTCTCTAGCGATAAGCAATTGATTATCGATTCTGTGTGCGCTCATGAACAATAGAAACAATCATGTGTGTGTGTGTGTAAATTCATAATTTTTTTTTTGGTGGATCGATATGTACCGACCAACGAATAAACTAAACTAACTTGATAACATGCACATGCAGTGTTTGCATCGGTATCGATTCGATAATAATTATCATTTTTATTTCTGTCTTTTGGGTAGCTTAAGAAGAAAAAAAATGTAAAATTTAAAAACTGAAAATTTTTTTTTTCATATATGATAATTAGATGGAATCGAAAACTTGTTTGACCTTTGAGAATAAACTAGAATTATGGATCAGAAATTTTTTTTTACGGTGTATGGAAAACCAAAGAAAAAAAAGCCACAGGAAATAATACAGCAACCAGCAGCAGTAAAAAGCAACAAACAAAAAGCCAAAACCAAAAAAAAAGGAAAGCATATTGTTGATGAAATCAAATGACCTACAATGAATTGGTTTCTTCAAACTTTAAAAGCATATTGTGAAATGATGTTGGATGATTTTGATGTCGGCTCAACATATTAACAGCAGTAGCATCAACAGCAGCAGCAGCAGAATGGATTTTCAAACAGATTGGACGTTTTTGTTATTAGTATTAGTATGAAGTATGAAGAATGATGATGATTATAATGACCAATGAAAAACGATCAATATATATCATTTATAAGGCGATAAATAAATGCTGAAGATCAACAGAAATTGCAAATGCAGCAAAATTGCATCAGTTGATTATTGGTGTTATGAATACGAATGAAATTCAAACGATTATTATTATGACGATTATGATGATGGTAAGCTCATAGAATTTATTCATGTGTATCGTGTGTGTATGTCATGACAAAAGTAACGCCAAAACCGAAAAAATGAAAAAAGCCTATTTTTTCCTGTTGGTAAATATCATCCATATGAATCGTATTTTTTACCGGTCATTTTGATTGGATTTGTAGATACGGTGTAATCAAATCATTTTTTCCATACGCAATGAGATTTTTGGCCATCCCAATATATAAATCCATTGTTCAAACAAAACAAAAATTTTTGGTAAAAAAAACTTGCAAAGACAATAACAATGGAAACAAGCAAGCTTTTTTTCGATGATGTTTGCTCATTCAAAAAGCGAAAAAGAAACAAAGCGAAAAAATAATGAAAAGATCTTTATCCACAATGTACACACGCATCTAATAATCGGATCGCCAATCAATCAATCGATCAATTCATATATTTACAAATATAGAATTGCAATTTGAAGAAAAAAGCATCAATGACAGTTGAATTTTTTTCTTTGAAATAATGAAAACAAAAACGAGAAAATTGTTTAAATTGTAAAAAAAAGCCAAACAACATTCAAAATATGCGTGTATTCTGAACTTTGACCTCTCTTTCTCTTTGTCGTTTCATTTCAATGTCAGTGTTGTGTGTTTGCGTAGGTCTGTGCATCATCACAAGATTCAACAGCCAAAAAAAAAAAAAAAAAAAAACAAAACAAAACTAAAAAATAAAATAAAATCCTAAATCAGACACAAAAAGTCATACGAAATCTATAAGAAAAATGGTTGATTCAATTATCAATTATCAACTTTTCTACACACTAAAAATGTGTCCACAAAAAACTAAACTAAACCAAGAATTTAAAAAGTGCAAAAAAAGAAATATAAAATATGATACGTACTGCACTAAGCGGAAAAGGAAAGACATCGTATTTGGCTCGTGTCTTGAGCTCGCTACGGCCGAGACGCCCCTGTGTAAATCCAGGACCGGTAATAGTAATGATGTTGATGAATGTTGATTAGTATTATTATTAGTATTAGTATTAGTATTTGTTAAATGATTATTGTTGGTATTTAGAGATGAGGCAACTGTAGCAGTAGCTGCTGCCGCTGTCGATGATGTTGAAAATGAAATGGAATTTTGTTGATATTCTGGATGATAATAAGAATGTAAACGATGATGATAACGTCGATAATGATGATAATGATGTGATCTTCGATTATGTATCAATGATTGGGGATGAAATCGAATTGTTGTTGAATGCGGATGCTGTTGAGGTTGTATCAATGGATGATTTACGGCTGTTGCTGTACGAACAGTTGTATTGTGTGAATATAAAGATGATGACAATGATGGGGGTGGTAATGGTGATGGTGTCGCTGAAATTGATTCAAATTGATTCGTTGATGAATTTTCCAAATAAATTCTCGGTGGAAGTTGATGTTGATAATGAAAATGATGATCACAATGATGAGTTGATGATGATGATGTTTGTCCAAATTTCGATAAAAAGTGTCGTATAGCTAAACGTATCGATGATGGAAAGCTCGCTTGTTGTTGTTGGCGATGTTGTTGACTTTCGTCAATCAATAATGTTGATTGTTTCCGTTGTTGTATACCGGAACCGGTTGTTGTTGTTGTTGTTGTTGAATGTTTGCTTTTTCTTTGTTTGTTTTTCGCTGTTGTTGCTGTTGCTTGTGATGATAATAGATTACTTGTACTACTAAAACATTGATCTTCACCAATATTCGTCAATGATGATCGATGTGATCGATGATGGTGATGATGATCCCTGGTGCTGGTGGTAGTAGCCCGATGATATGCTAATGATGATCCACCACAACCGCATTCGTTAGCGGTATGATTACTATTTGTGCTTTTACTACTACCACTGCTACTGCTGCTTTGATTGCTAGCAATACTGGCTGGATTACTTGCCAATGATAATGTAGATCGGCTTGAAAGCCGAATCTGTTGTGTTGAAACGGAACTTAGAGCACTGTTACTTCCGTTAACCAATACACTATTACGGCTACTACTACAAGATGATGATGTGGATGACGATGAACTTGAAATACCTTGAAATGTTGTCAATACTGTTGTTGTTCCACTTGGCCCTTTTCCGTTTTGTTGTTGATTATTATTACCGGTATCGGATATCTGTTGATCAATTTGTCGTTCACTTTCGTCCAATATAACAATAATTTCTTCAGTCGATGATGATGATGAAAATAATGGTGGGGGTGGTGGAAGTGATTCAAAATAATCTTCGGGTGCTGGTTGTTGTTGTTGTTGTTGATTTGTAGCAATCGATGATGATAATGAAGAAGATGGGACAACAGCAGCGGCAGTGATCGTAGCAGTGTTAATTAATGTTATTGATGATGATGATGATGGATTTGTTGATGAGGAAACGTCGACGGTGGCAGCGGGCGGAGCCGGTAATGATGATGATTCCAATGATAATGATCGAAGATTTTGTGGTTGTTGATGAGGATGGTGATGACGATGAAGGTGGTGATGATGATGATGATCCGGATTAATGAATGATGATGATGATGGTGATGGTAATGGAGATGACGATGACGACGATGAATCCTCAATTGTGTTGCCGGTTATTCCGCCGGTTTTATCCGATTTATCGTTAAAAAAGGCCGTGGCGGCAAATTTTTAGTGAATGTCAACCACTCTTCCAACACGGTGATGATACAATACACCACTAGACACAACGAACGTATCAAAACGTATTTTGTTGTCAGTGTGTGTGTGTATCGTCCCCTATCTTGAAAGAGTGGCACGAAAAAAAAATTCTAATCTGATAATTGAAAAGATAATATTCGTGTGAGAGAGAGAGAAAGAGAATTTTTGAATCTGATTTTGGGCAGTGTAAAGATTGTAATTTTCAATAAATCGATTATGGCAGATAGATGGCAGCACTAGTAAAATGGGAGGAAAATATAAAATTTGATTGATTATTAATGAATGAATGATTTTTTTTCAAATAACAATTATTATATTGGCTATCGATACAAACCAAAAGGGCGTGGTAAGCAGGAGAGATGTGGTGTTTGTTGTTGTTCGGGATGCAAATTGATGAAAATAATCAAAGGCAGCTTTTCGATAACCGATGTGAGCAATGTATATGATAGGTGTGTAAGAATGGGGTTAGGTTGTGATGATTTTTAAGAAATTTTGGCTCTCCTTGTATTGGCAATCGACGATGATGATAACAACAACGATGAAAACAGATTTTCAACAAGATAAACAATGGCGTAAGCGTTCGCATCATTTGATCGATGTTGTTGATGATTTTGGTCGACCATAACAATATTTCTCACTTTGGCACATTTCTTTCGTGAATCATGAATCGATAATGATAATTGTTGTTGTTGACGATGATGAAATAATACATCTGCTACACGTTTCATAAACATCATCATCATCATCGATATAGAATTTGATGATGATAACAAATCAAAACCTTTGATGACCGTTTCAGTTAGTCCCGGATAGATGGCGTTCGTGCGAATGCTGTGTAATTTCATTTTCAATTTATCTTCTTTTTTTTTACACAAACACACACACATTTAAACAGAAAATCTAAATTGTTGAATTGATGATGAATAGATTATGTCCAAAACAATGATGATGATGACATTTTACACCCTGTACATGTGATGGTAAAAATAGAAAAACAGACAGAACATTAGTTATTGAAATATATGAAACTGGGAATCAATTGGATTCATTTTTTTTTCATTTTAAGGAAGCTTAAAAAGAAAAAAAACACTAATTATAATTATAAGGTTTCTATAGCCATGCGGTTGCAATGAAATACAATTCATCAGAATTGAATCGATAATAAACGGTATAAACACACACACACACAAATTCAATTCAAGTCAAGGCTACCTGCTGTTGCTGTTAACTACCCGGCAAAGAAAAAATTGGTAAAATGGACACACACACACACACACCAACCGTAAGCAGTAAAAGAAGTCTTGCTCTAGTTTCATATTTGGTTGTGATACCATACCACACACACACACACACACACAGAAATTACCGAAATTAATTTTATATTCACAAAAAAAAATCGAAACAAAATCGAATTCTCTCATTAACAACAAGCAGAAGCAGGAGAATAAAATGAAAACAAAAGAAAAAAAACGAGTTAATTGTCGTTTGTCTAACTGTTGATAATTGGATCAACTAAATCGACCACTACTACTTACTATGTGAGGTCCAGTAAAAAAAATAGAGAAATTCGCTATCATCGATGACAAGAATATCATGGATTCTATTCATTTGGAACTAGGACTATTCGATAAAACCTGGACAATAATCATTGGTGGAGAGTATATTTGTGTGTGTGTAGGGCAAATTGTATGACTTTCATTATGTAATAATAGTGTGTGTGTGTGTGTGTGAATCTTTAGTTAAAAAATAAAGGTAGAGAGGATTATCATCATCATGTTGATAATAAAATGATCATTAAACATACAAATCACGTTTTATTTTTCTACGTTTATCATTATGAATGAAATGGAAATGAATAAAAGTGGTGGTAGTAGTATCGAATGGTAAGCCTTTCAAGGTTCCATATGATGATGTATCTCTTTTCCAAAGATTTAAGAGATTTGACGAAAATAAACGTCTAAAAAAAGGTCAAATTCTTTCAACAACAACACTAACAACTGCAAAAGGTGTCAATGTGATCATAAAATTGACGACGACCCTCTCCGATGATTAATCAGTGATCGATAATTTTTCCAATTGATGGATCGATTGATCAGGAATTCAAATTAGATTGCGGGCAGCAAAGCAAGGTGTTTGATCTATCAAAAGCAAGAAATTGTTATTTTCAAATTGCTCGAATAATTATTCAGAAGCTCGTTTTTTTTTCATTTCAATCCATCTTGAATTGATTATTACATGTGGTGTAAGTAACCTTTAATCACCGGCAAGGGAGAATACATTCTCATTCAGGAAGAATCGATTAATCATAGAAAAAAAATTGCATGTCCCTGACAGCGGCAATGTGAGAGAGTGAGTGAGAGCAAGAGAATCAAAAATGATGTGTGTGAGAATCGACCAATCTATTTATGGATCGATTTTGTTGTTGTTGTTGTTGTTGGAAACTTTTCTCCATTATGTGTGTGTGTGTGTGTGTGTGTGTGTGTGTGTGTGTAAGGATTTTCAAAAAGAAAATTTACTCATTTTTTTTGTTTGAAAAAAACGAATATCAACATCACTACAATGGTGGAAATATTAGTGATAATAATTCAAAAGCAAAAAAAAGGATTCCTATTTAAAATTATTGATTTATCGAATAAGTTTACAGCGAATCACAATGCAGCAATATGTAGCAGGATTATGATGGAAAGAAATAAATGTCAAAAAAATATATAGCCAATAGCTATATATGTGTATAAAACACGAAACGATTGAGTGATTGATTGATTGATTGGCATACACAACACACACACACACACACACACACATGTCTAAGACGCCTTGAGCAAATTTGTGATTTACAACAAAACACACATACACACACTTTTCCATCCATTCATTCATTCATTCATTCAATCGAAACAATTCTGACATTTTTTCTTCTTTTTTCCAGAAAATCTGATTGTTTTGTTTGATGGATTGATTAGAAATTGAAAAAGAAAAAAAATCGTGTTTCCAATTGGGTAAATTTTTTCTAAATTTTTATATTTAGTGTGTCCATTTCTATGTGTTTGGTTGTTGTTGTTGTTGTTGTTCTAGTTTGGATTGTTATTTTGTCATCATCGTCATAATCATTGTCTTTTTCTTTTTTTTCATTTGTACACATGGATTGTTATTTTTTTTTGGTTCTTTTCTCCAAGAATTGGCGATAAATCAAAGTATCAATTTCCAATTACGTTCGGATGATGTGTTTACGACGACTACGACGAAACAGAACAGAAAAAAATATGTGGCCCTTATCATTTTTTTCAGTTGTTCCACTTTGTTTCGAATTGCAAACTATATCCAAATGAACGAACAACAGACCGACCGGTCGGTTAAGTTGATCGTAAAAATAGCTGCTGCTGTTGTCGTTGTTTTACTAAGAAACAATGTTACAGTGAGCAACGATAAAAACGGAGATTCATCCACAATCTAGATGCTTTAGCATGGATGATGATGAACCAAATGGAACCAAAATATGAATCTCTCTTTTCCTCGGTGCGTTTTCGATATCAATGGGATGAGATGATGGTCATTAACTTTCGATTTGTCTTTTTTTTCTCGTGATTCTTTTGAATGTGTGTGTGTGTGTATTGGTGTTTGCATCATCATCGAAAGAGAAAAAAATCAATGGTTCGAAACTAGAGAGATCGAAACTCAACAAAATCGAATCAAATTTCAATCGAACATATAAGAATCAAGCATTTTTTTTTTGTTAGAAATCAAGTTAATTGCTCTCTCTCTCTCTCTCTCAATACAAACGTTTTTGTTTTCTCCAAATGATCATGATCATTCACAGTTGATTGATTCAAATGGAAGATAGAAAAAAAATGTGATCAAATTGCCATTGAATAAACAGAGGCAAATGTTTAGACATTAAATTTTTGATTATTATTTTCTGGTACGATCCTTTTTGCTGTTTGTTTGTTTGTTTGTTCGAAACGTTGTTATTTCATTTTGTAAAATGTCAGAGAGCTGAATCATTGTTTGTCATTTTTTTAAACATTGGGGTGGATAAAGATTAGAATCATCATCATCATTTTTATTCTGGTAAAATGAAAAAAGTAGCCATAGAGATAGTGAATGTTTCTTGTTTTGTTTCATTTCACATTTCGATCGATCAATCGATTGATGCAGCAAACAAAAAAGCTTTATAATAAAATGTATCGAGTGGATGCTTTTTAGTTTTCTATCCCCCACTTTTTACCGTTTTTCTTTTGCTTTAAATTTCATCATCAAACGATGTTTGTGTGTCTGTGTTTTGATTGTTAATGTCAATTTTTTTTTCTGTATGATGATGTGAACGTAAGAAAAAAAAGAAGAAAAAATTCAAACGAAAAAACGCACTAGCTACCATTTAAACAAAAAAAACTACACTGAAACAAAACATTCAATAAATGTTAATGGCAACAGCGAACAAAACGAAAGGAAGAATTTTTTTGTAGCCAAATGGATTCTAGCCAAGCAAATGAAAAAAGTCAAACCAATCGTTTCTTTTTCGTTGAGAATCGAAGAATTTTTTTTGGAGGGGGGCGAAGCAATCATGAATTGTTCAAACAAACTTTTTTCCACTCTTGCGTTCTGTTGTTTCAACAAGAGAAGAAAAAACTTTTTTAAAGGGAGGAAAGGCATTTTTTTTACCGAAGCCAAAATGATGATCATCATCATTGGATGTCCATTGAACTTTTGAAATAACCATCATCAAACCATTGATGATTATTGATTGTTGATGTTGTTATTGGAATACATTTTCTCGTTTTTTTTCACACAGAAAAATAATTCTCTCTGAGAAAAAAAT